CTTGTGGACTTCAACTCCCAGAATTCCCGAGCCAACATGGGGAACGATGGCCCCTTCATGACTTGTGGACTTCAACTCCCAGAATTCCTGAGCCAGCCATGTTAGCTCAGGAGTTCTGGGAGTCGAAGTCCACAATTCCCAAAAAGGCCACTGTTCCCCACACCCCTGATGTAGAGGAAGCAACCTGCACTGAGCTCTGATCTGTTCGCTTCCTCGGGAAGAGCAGACTCAGAAAAAAAATCCAGTGAGCTGTGAGGGAGCTCGGCACCTGCTCAGCGAGAGCCTCCATGGGAGTGATGTAGACGCAGCGGCCTTCCACGTTCTGCAGCAGCATCCTCAGGATGGCAAACTCAGCACAGATGGTCTTCCCGCTGCCCGTTGGCGCGCCCACAAAGACGTTTTCATCGCTGTTGTAGACCGTGTTGAATACTAGACATGGAAGAAGAGACAGGCCAGCTTCGTTATCTGGGTTTTTTTTTTGTTTTTTTTGAGTTCCTGGTGGCTCTTGTTTATCAAGACATCCCTGTGTTGTATTTGCAAAGGCATGCGATCTCCTGGAAGCTCTCCATGCCCAAATAAATACATTCTGGGGTGGGAGGCAGAAGTGGGCATTCAGCCGGTTCTGACCGCTTCTGGAGAACCGGGAGCAGAAAAGTTGAGTAGTCCGGAGAACCGGCCAATCCCACCTCTGACTGGGCCCACCAACCCCATCTCTTCTCTGCCTCCCATTGAGTCCCAGCTGATCGGCTGGGTCTCCTTTGGTTGCCCTGCCCAGGAGAACAGAGCTGGAAAGCAGGTTAGTGGGGTGGGGAGAAATAGAATTCTTTATTGTCCAGGTGTGATTGGACACATGAGGAATTTATCTTGATGCAAATACTCTCAGTGTACATAAAAGAAAAGATACATTCATCAAGAGTCAAGAACAAGACTTAATAATCGTCATAGGGTAGAATAGAATAGAATAGAATAGAATAGAATAGAATAGAATAGAATAGAATATAGAAATATAATTTTTTTATTGGCCAAGTGTGTTTGGACACACAGGGAATTTGTCTTGGTGCAAATGCTCTCAGTGTACATAAAAAAAAAAGAGACATTCGTCAAGAATCATCAGGTACAACACTTAATAATAATCATAGAGTACAATAAGAATAGAATAGAATAGAATAGAATAGAATAGAATAGAATAGAATAG